TGCACACACTTCTCCCAGCAGGGGGACCTGAGTCCTTGCTTCTTGCCCTGCAGTTGCCCTTATCCCTCCCTCTCACGAATTCCCCAGCCAACGCTGTCTTCCCAGCGATGGAATCTGCATCTTATTTGTTTTGAGATAGTCTCCCTATGGATTCCAGGCTGGCGTCAAACTCATGATCCTTCTACCTCAGCCTCCCAAGTGCTTTGATACTAGGCACATGCCATCAACCTGGCAGAATCTGTGTCTTAAATTCAGGTGCCCTCTGAGACAAAAATGACACGATGTCCTCAACATGTCCCCATCCTTCTTCCACCTTGCCTTGGCTGAGCTCTAGGCAAACAGCTCCCCCACCCCGCCACCTGGATACTCTGTGTGAGCTGTTCGTCGTCGCCAGGAGTGGTCAGGAGCCTTGTAGGGGGTCCTCTGGGTCATCCAGACTGAATCAATGATGGTGTTATGGGCAGCTCCAGGAGACATCAGGCAGGCTTTCTCCTCTCAAAATGAGCATTGGATAAGACAACCCCCCCCCAGCTTTGGCATTGTTCTGTTGTCTCTGAATGTTGATTTTCCTCCTTGTAGATGGAGGAATCAGTTTGTTTCCCACAGAACTTATAGAGCTGTTATGAAAGTTAAGCAAACAAATGTGAACAAGTGCTATGTCACCTTGCATCTGGTGGGATCATTTAGAAAGCTATAACTTAAGGAAAATCAGCAGAGGGACAGCTTAGTTAGGGACCCCCTGCCTGCTAGGAGCCTCCCTGGGTTGCTAGGAAACCGTCTCAGGATTCTCAGCCAACACAGCCCTGTTTCCAAACATTGGTCCTCTCTTCCCCAACCTTCCCTGTTGGGAATTGAGATTACTTGCTGGGGGAGGGCCTAAAGGCCCTGGGCTAGTTGTAAAAAGAACAAACCAGTGGCTCTCTGTCTCTGTCTCTGTCTCTCTGTCTCTGTCTCTGTCTGTCTGTCTGTCTGTCTGTCTGTCTGTCTCTCTCTCCCGTCTCTCCCTGTCTCTCTCCAATTATAAACTAACAAGTACATAAAGGCAGTAAAGCAAAAATAGATGAATGGGGTTGTGGCAAACTAGACCACTTTTGCACAGCAAAGGAAACAATAGAGTGAAGAGATAAGCTACAGGCTGGCAGGAAATATTTACAAATCATGGATCCTGTAAGGGAGTCCTGTTAGTTCCTATTTCATTACTATAATAAAATACCTAAGGCGGGGTAATTTGTAAGAGAAGAAGTTCATTTAGCTCACAGTTTTGGAGTCTAAAATTCCTATAGCACAGTGTCAGTTCTGGCTGTTTCTCCTCATGGTGGATGACATCACCGTGGTGTTGATGTCACAATGGTGGTGACATCACAGTGGCGGG